ACAGAACCGGTTGTTAAAATTTTTGAATCCCACCCCTGCCCTAATGTCTGAGCAGTATTTGATGGACAGCCACTTTTTCAAATTGGATCCTTTGCAAGGTTTGGACTTATCATCCTTAACTAGAACTTATTTTGCCCAGAGATGGTATATATGGCAGTATGTGGAAATAGAAGACTTTTGTCAACCATTCCATATTTTAATTGACCTAGTTGCATTCAAAGTGTTGATACCACTCTTAGTGTCCTAGGATGAAATAAGCTGAATGTTACACACATAAGAACACACTTGGTAGAAACCTGATGGTGTAGATAACTTTCTAATTAACTGCACCAATGGCTAGGGGCCCATGTTAAGTTACCTTTCAGGTCTTTTCTCCACATTCAAACAACTGCTTTTAAGCAACTGTGCCTCAAATCAATTTGCTCATCAAGACTTCAGACAATAGGCATGATTTTATGATAGTCCTGTTTAAGGCTATTTTACTGGTTTTCCTAGCTCAGTCTTACAATTAAGAGCCTACAAATGACATGCAGAATGGAACAGCAACTTTCCAGCACTTGGTAAAATTGTGTTCTTCAATCTCTATCAGTTCATCTTGTTAATTTCATGTGGTTGCAGACAGGGCTTTGGATGTGAAAGCATAAGGGTGCAAGGGTACAAATGTGGCACTCATTTGCAACTTTTTAAAGCAACCACTCCTTTTCCTAGATCACATAACTTGTCAGGGTTCCAAATAATAAATCCATTGCAAGCAAGACTCTGAGGTAATTGAATTCCTCAGAGATTACTTTTATTGGAAATATCATATTGGCACATATCTGGTGAAAACCAACTATACAAACTCCCACAGTTTTCACCTTATTAAAAGTAAAAGATTTTCTAGTTTCTCAAAACAATCAGTCACATGGTCCAATCATCGTGCAGTCCAACAACCAGGTGATATCACTCCACCTTCTTCCAACCAGGTGTGAGAATGTCCTTGGTTCCCCAAAAAAAGTATTTTGTTTTGGCTACAGAAATCCCTCTATCTCAAATCACCCCCTCCCTAACCCTCAGATCCAGTGTGGCAACACTGAAGTAGACAAAATGGCTTGGGTCAGGACAGCTTCAGGGTTGACAGCTGTTTAATTCCAGAAAAAAGGAATGAACTGTTGACTCCAGCTACCACTACACTTACATATCCCCATGCCGGCCAAAGCACCATAGTCTTAATAGACAGCACTATAATTCAGTTCTTCAGACTAGACCAGGGATATCAAACTCAAGGCACTCAGGCCAGATCCGCCCTGCAGGGTGCTTAAATCCAGCCCATGGGGCCAGCGTGGAAATATCAAGGGATTGGCCCACAGTGTCTCTGGCGGCTAAATCGGGCCGTGAGTGGCCCCCATGTGCATTCTCATCCTTCATGGCCTCCTGCAGCACTCTGCTGGCCGAAAAACGGGCCCAAACGGGTTTAAAAATGCCCCAAAACAGGCCATGTGGCCAGTTTCCAGCCAGCAGGGTACTGCAGGAGGCATCTGTCCCGCCTGCGCCCCCCTCCCCCACAGCAGCCAACAGAGCAATGCTGATCTGGCCCTCAAAGGTAACTACCGTGTTTCTCATATAATAAGGCCGGGTTTTATTTTTTTTTGAGTCCCCCAAAAATGGCTAGGCCGTCTTTTCAGGGGTGACTTAATTTCCCCCCCCTTGCATCTTCGGGTGGGCGGGCGGCGTTGGCTTGGATGTTGACCTCGGCTTTGGTGGGGCACTTCGTATTGGGGTCAACGCAGGCAGCACCATATCCGGGTGTGCAACAAAAGTACTTCCTAACGGCAAGCCCCCCCCCCCACCATTCCCCACCATTTCGCATGTTTTAATATAGGCCTTAATTTGGGAGGAGGGGCTTAATTTCATTTCATGCCTGTAAAACATGCTGGGACTTCCTATTGGGGGAGGCCATATTGTTGGAGAAACAGGGTAGTTTGACACTGCTGGACTAGACAAATAAGTCTGCTCTTTTGTAGGGAAACACGAATGTACATCCTTCACCTCAGCAGAGTTCAATATCTTTTGACAACTGCAGAATAGGCAGAAATTAGGCAGATACAGGTTTACTTCATTTTTTTCCCCTAGTAAACATTAGATTTCCCAGGATTAAGATTAAAAAGCAGCCTGAATGTTACTTTAATCTTTTTTTTTTTTTGTAAATTTTATTTGAGTTTTCACAAAGAGAAAAGAAACACAATTAAAACATATTTTTTGAAAGCAGCATAATCCCGGGTTACATTTCTTCGTGCAGACACAATTTCAGGTTCATGCTCATTTTTATATTCTATTCCATATCTTATTACAATTTTACATTTTCTACATAGCTTCTCCCCTCTTTTAATTTCCTCAATTTTATTATATTTATTTCATCTCAATTCAAATCATTATATTTATATTTTTTGTCTGTCCTGTTTCAATTGTCTATTATCTTTTCTCATTAAACAAAATTTCTCCTATAGTTACTGATTGGAGTATGACGCCTTTATATCTTTCCCCTAAAGTTATAACACTCAATATAATACATAGCTTCCATTTGGATTCTGTTTGGTACATTCTTAAACAACACACAATATTCTTATAAAAAAGAAAAAAATATAAATGTATATAATTAAAACAACATTCTGTTCCAATTCAATTCTATCATTAATATTAAAATTCATTAAAGTCTTAAGGTTTTTCATGTTACTTTTCAATTAAATATCATACCTCTATGGGAACAATTATTAGCTTTCCATAATCAATTCCCCCCCTCTTCACTTATATTTTATAAAACATTGACTAATTAAAGTGTTCCCATTCCTTCCTAATTCAATTTTCTCATTTATTTTATTTCATTTACTTTATTCACAAACATTTCACTAAGTTACACTAACTATTCTATCCCTCATTCTAATCATATGTTGTTTCCAATTTTCTAAAGTTATTTCTATTTCAAATATAACAACACAATCTCATGTACCTTTACAGAATCCCCCTTTCAGTTAAATTTTTACCCATTATCTCTAAATAGGTCCTGTTTCTTTATATCTTGCTCCGGACCTTTGTGACTTCTTTTCCTTTCCTTCTTCCCTCTCTTCTTCTCCCTCCCCTTTTTACCCCTTTGTCTCTCTACCTCTACTTCCCTCTTCTGTATTCCCCTTTTCTGTTGTTTTCCAGTATTATACTTATTTTTTGAATTATTTTTCTTTTCTTTTTTAAATCTTAAGTTCTCCATCCTCTTTCCCCCCTTTCCTTTTTCTTCCCCACATAGAGTTACTTGTTCATTAAAGATGGCTTCTTCTTTGTCCCAGTCTTCTTGTTTTGCAGTCTTTTGTTGTTTCTCATAGTTCCAAATCTCCATTTCTAAGAATTGAAAAACGAAGCCAAAGGAACCCTTCCCTTCTTGTGCCTCTTCTTTGTACTTTTTAAGTTCCGTTTTCAATTCATCGAAAAGTGATGCCATTGTAAAAAAATTTAAACAACCACCCGATTGATTTTAGTCATTCAAATATAATAGCCAAAAATCCAAAAGTCACTAAGTAATCCAAATACACACAAACTGTTTCTTTTTGCTCTTTCTTTTTTCCACTTTCTCTTCCTGGGGTTATTATTTAGTTGCAAAGTTTCAGTTAAAATGTATCTTTTAGAAGTCTTATTGAAATTTTACTTTAGATTCTTTTAAAGTCCAGGCAGTCTCCTCCCTCTTCCAGATCCTGCCCTTATTCTTTTTCTCTCCCTTCCTGCTTATAGAAAAAAAAGTTTTTAATGTCCAGAAATCTTTATTGTCCCTTTGGCATTTAGTTATATTTTCAGCTTAATTGCCTGTTGATGTCAAAGCGGATTTTTCCAATTTCTTATTTTTCATTGTCAATATAAGGAAGGAGAGAGAAGAAGAAGAAAGCCAAACCTTTCCCTTTTCACTTTCTTTCTCTGCTTCCGACTCTTCTTTGGGAGCGATGTTATTTCTTGTAAAATTTAAATTCCAGGGTACCTTAGTTATTGCTTTTTCAACTTAGTCCCGGTCAGCCAAAACTTTCACTTCTTATCTTCCTCCTGCACGTTCTTTTCCGGTTGAGTACTTCTTTGAGATGGCCATTTCTGACCACCTCTCCTACCGCCTTCGGGAAAGGGAGTTTGACCAGCTGAGGAGGAGAGATGTGGCTCTCCTCGACCCTGCTGGCAGTCTCCCCCTTCTTCACCACCTCTACGGGGTGGCTTAGCCCTGAAACCAGCCGGCTCGGGGCGCTCCAGCGGCGAGCCCAGGCAGAAACTGCGCACAATCGCGGATTCCTGTCTGTCGCCGAAGCCCTTCAAACCGGAAGTCCTGAATGTTACTTTAATCTTATTCCATATCTTACAAGATGAAAATTGTTTTCACTATTGAAAGTTTTTAATTTAGCAAAACTATAACTGTTGTTAAACATCAATAAGAGTTACAGAATTTTTCCAATTTTTTACAAATATTTTGAATTGCACAGAGCTGTACATGAAAGGATTTGTTTTAATAAAACTAAAAGAAAAAAAGGATAACTCAAGAAATTGTAACCTGTGTTTTATGTTTGACAAGACCATTTGATTCTCTTTGCTTAGCAATGTACCAGTATATGTTCATATGGAATAAATATTAAAGATTGTTCTAGTGTGCATATATATGTAAGAATTTCATAACAAATGCAACCTAACTGTATGAAATTATAACCATTTTTATATTTCTTGTCCTCCCTTCCACCAGGCATCCATAGAGCATGTAATTTAAATGCATCCATAGAGCATGCAATTTACATACAGCATATAGATTAAATGGGTTAATATATGAGTTGCTAACTGATTTATATGAAAGTTATGGTTGAGTGAAGAATTGCAGACTAGTTCAGTTGCATCAAGATTAATTGAGCTGTGCTGAATCCAAACCTTGCTAAGCTAAAGAGACAGATAATTTATTTGCTTTGGAGCTCCTGCTGGATTAAATGACTGAGTCCACACAGCATTTTAAGCTTTATTTAACCATAGTTATTGAACAAACCACAAGGGTTAGAGTTAACATAACATGTTAGTCCAAAAACCAAATACATCCCACAAATGGCTTTGTACTTTATGGCTTTATGTCAAAGGTATGGCAGCCAATGTAAAAGGCAACTTGGTTCCACTGCATAGAATATGGACTTTGAGCACTGCTATCATTCAAGAAACTCTTCCAATGGACAGCCCGCCCCCCAGCAATATTTTATTCAGGGTCAATAAATCCAGATTAAACTAATGAAATCCTGTATCACAAAGATTTCTAACTAAAAATAAGACACTCAAGATATATTCTAAGACTTGAGCTGGATTTCAGCCTACCCCCAGGAACTTCCTATTTGCTGTTCTTAAAGTGGGAAGGAATGAATTACTCATCTTTCTGGATGATCTAAGCATTGAATGATGCAGTACGCTGCAGAGAAAGACAATTCAGTACTTCATCTTACATAATTGAAACAATGACTAACTACCATCTTCTTATGCTATTGGGCATCATGAGGTAACTTATTCATTTTTTAAGAGCCCTTCCCCCCACTTAAAAACTATAGATAGGAATAGCATTTTAAAGGCAGCTATTGGCATTTCATAAATCAGAAGTACAGACTTCATTCTCCTTATCTGACACAGTAGATGGCGTGTTTTTGAGAAAACTGATTTTAGATTATCTTGAGTATAGAAAAAAACCAAGGAGAAGTTAACAGCAATGCTGGTGAATTAATAAGTGACTGTAGATGAAAGATAACCCAAACTATATCAACACAGCCATTCTATCTCAGGCAAAACAAATGACTCAGTCAGCAATAAATACAACAGCCAAGAGAAGACTATTCTCTTTCTGTATTTTCAAGAGAATCAAGAATGGAGTGATATGAATGCAGAAGGGAACCTACAGAGGCATGTCTATGGAGATTCTCAGTAATCCGGATCATGGTTGTCCCAAAGGTGCTTTTCAAAGAAAAAACAAAGTCCAGTAGCCTTTTGAAAACACACCTTTGGGACAACATATAAAGGCCCATTCATAAACCTTGCACCCGTCCTTTCAAAGTGCTCCTTGTAAAAAGAATCCAAACTCCAGAGTTTTCTCTCATAAAGTTGACATAAAACGTACCACCTTAAAAGACCTGATCCACCAGACTTCATGTTTCTTTTTTCCTGACATCAAATTATCCTTCTTTCTGTCTGAAGGGAGGGCTACAAAAGAATGGAATTTGGACTGAGGGCAAGAGACTTCTCCCTTCACTAAATTATCCTATTATAATGTATGGTAGAACCAAACTTAACCAAACCATACTTCGTTGAATGTAGAACCAAACTTCATTGCATTCAATGACTCTCTTTTAAATATTTGGAGAATCTGATTGCTTTTACATAGCAAAACAATTGCATATTTCAATAAAGCTCAAACAGATATTGTTTGGGAAACTGAGGTAATTCTCCAGTGTCCATTTAAGATGGTAATGCATTGAATATCCTTCTAAAATGGATAAAAAAGTATGAAACTTTTTATGAACACTCCACTCTGCAATTTTTTGTTGCTGGACTCACACATACAATTTAACAAATACCAGTATCTCAGCCCCTTCCCATTGATAAAGGCTCTTTTCTTCAAACTGCCAGGATGCTATGAAAAAGAGATATGTTTCCAGTACTGATATAGCTATTTCAAGATGCCAAACAAACAAGAAAACCAATATACAACTTTTATTGAGTCCTAAGCATGTTCCAGTGAAACATTTTGTAAACACTGTTTATTCTCTTTGTACATGGGATGTACTTAAAAACACATATATGAGTGCGAGAGAGGATCACATTAAAACAAAATGGCATTGTAGTTAGTTATCTTATTGCAGGCTTCTCCAACTTTAGAAGCTTGCTGGGGTAAAACGCAAATTGCTTTGGAACCATTGCAGTACATTCCCAAGTACCAGGAATACCAAAATACATAATCTGGCATGCTATGTAGAAGAAGATTGCCCACCTCTTGTAAACCTGCCTCCCAAGATATCATTAGTTATCCAGAAAGGACCAAAGCTGAGTTTAGAGAAAGGCCTTTTTATACTGACTGCCCATTCCACCAAAGTGATTGGGGTTTACCCCGCAGTTTCTGCTGTTCACTTATTTGAGGTTTTTCTATCATACACAAACACACAGCAGATCTTCACTGCTTTAATACTTATCTATATTTGGTGACTTTAAGCTCTTTAATTTTTGCATTGTTCTCCTAGCTGGCTTTCTTTTTATATTAAGAAAGAAGCAAATGCATGCCATGCATCTTGGGTGAGAGGCCACAAGGCAGTAAAATGAGGCTCATATGGTCAAAACATACAACTGTGTTGTATATGTAGGGACTATTAGAGTGAATAAGGCTTCAACAGAAATACAAAACTGTTCAGATGTTCCCATTTATTCCACAGGAACTGACAAGAAATCATGGCAAACAGCACCAAATACCTGTAAGTGCAATCAAATGTATTTTATATTATCTATTACTTAAATTCTGTCCTGAGAATTAAATGCATTATGGCCGATTCCAAACATCCCATGGCTTCTTGGAATGTCCTTGGTACCATAACCAGCAATGCATTTTTTATTAATATAAAAAGGGAAATTAAAATCATTTTCCTTTATTCACCACAGGAAAATGAGGGAGGAGGGGAGGGAGGGGAATTAAACATTGATACTTGTTAATAGCAGCAAGGTCTTCTATCAACAGCATAACCACTTTGGTACTTTTGAATTGAGAAGGCAAGGATGTGATTGTGAACTCCTCTTGAATTTCTCCACAGAAGGAGATTTGGCTCAAGATTCCGACCGGTAAAAGGGCACCACGCAGAAAGCGTTAAGGCAAAAAGATTAATAGAAAACGAGTCACTTTATAGCTTATTTCATAATTCTGATTTTTTCTCCTCCAATGCAATTACCAACGCAGTTCTTTTCCTTGCCCTCGGGTTCCTTCTTGGTCATCAAAAACCCGGTGCAATCCAGTTAAGAAACTTCATGGCAACTTCAAAGCCAAGGAAGCATGCCTGAAAAAAATATACTTATAAGTATATGTATAAATTCACATTGTTCACATTTTAATCAATACAATACCCACACAAACGGGGCTGTTTCAACATGAACCTTTGCAATGTCTCCAACAAATATATACTGCATGAGCATATAGAATAGCTAGGCATTCAGTCAAGTGCAACATTGCTCCAAGGAGCCTGGCTAGAGACGAAGGAAGGAAAGCAAAATATCCGTTTGGCCTTCTGATGCTTCAAAAGCTGCTGTGGAAGACTGGGGAATCATCCAGACTAGTATGCATGGTGATGCTGAATTCTATGTAGAAAAATTAACGATAGCCAGCTTTTCCAGGGCTCTGCAAGGATTTTCCATTCGATCATATGTTTTTTCAACAGCCACTTTGCTTAATGACCAGGCTGCTGGTCCAAATTATAGTCACTAAATGAGGACTACCTGTAATAAGCATGCTGTTGATTTACTACTGTTTTCTATTTCTTTTACTGTTTTAGTGCAGGTAGCCCTCCACTCTCGACCACAATTGAGCCCAAAATTTCTGTTGTAAGCTGAGACATTTATTAAGTGAATTTTGCCCCATTTGTACGACCTTTCTTGCCTCCGTTATTTAGTGAATCCCTGCAGTTGATCAATTAGTAACCCGGTTGATATCTGAATCCAGCTTCCCCACTGACTTTGCTTGTCAGAAGGACGTAAATGGGGAATCTCATGACTCTGGGGGCACTGCAACAGTCATAAATAGGAACCAGTTACCTAGAATCTGAATTTTGATCACACGATCATGAGGATGCTATAACTGTTTTTCACAGTTATAAGTCACTTTTTTTCAGTACCGTTGTAACTTTGAGCTGTCACTTAAATGAACTGTTATAAGGTTCATTTCATGTCGAGGACTACCTGTGTTGCTGTACAATAGCTACCGTTGCTTGGATGATTGAAATGGCTTCTGAATTCAACTAGTGGAACCGAATAAACCTATACAGAAGTCTACTTTTGGTGTAAAACTGGCCAGATGTATAAAACAAATAAAGTGTTTTCCAAAAGATTCTGTTGGGAGGCTTCGCTTCTTACATTTCTGTCTTAACTCTTTACAAGAGAAGAGCCACCTCTGCCATTGCTCCTGCCCTTTGGAACAGATTACCTCCAGACTGAAGTCAGCTTCAATCCTCCTAACCGTCTGCAAGAGTTTAAAGGCCTGGTTCTGTCAGCTGGCTTGGGGCTCCAATGCGAGGCCTTCACACTGGGGCTGGTTGACAGACTAATAACGGATCCTTCCTCCCCACCCCCTTGCTCATCCTACCCCCCCCCCCCTTCCGATCTTTTAGTTAGGGTTGTGTATTTATTTATTTATTTATTATTTAGTTCCTATTGTGTATAGGTTTTGTAAAATTTTGTCTTTAATACAGGTAATCAGAGGTGGTATTCAGCAGGTTCTGACCAGTTCTGGAGAACCGGTAGTGGAAATTTTGAGTAGTTCAGAGTACCACCTCTGACTGGCCCCTCCCCCATCTATTCTCTGTCTCCCGAGTCCCAGCTGATCGGCTGGGTGTCCTTTTGTTGTCCTGCACAGGAGAACGGAGCTGGAAAGCAGGTCAGTGGGGAGGGGAGGGAATGGGGATTTTACAGTACCCTTCCCTTGCCACGCCCACCAAGCCATGCCCACAGAACCGGTAGTTAAAAAATTTGAATACCACCACTGCAGGTAATCCTCAACTTACAACTACAGTTGAGCCCAAATTTCTGTCGCTTAAGTGGAATATTGTTAAGAGAATTTTGCCCATTTTACGACCTTTCTTGCCACAGTTGTTAAGTGAATCAGTCAGTGGTTAAGTTAGTAACACGGCTAGTAAAGTGAATCTGGCTTCCCCATTGACTTTGCTCGTCAGAAGATCGCAAAAGGGGATTACACGACCCCGAAGACACTGCAACCGTCATAGATATGAGTCGGTTGCCAAGCCTCCGAATTCATCACGTGACCACCGCAATGGTCATAAGTGTGAAAAATGGCCATGAGTCACTTTTTTTCAGTGCCGTTGGAACATTGAACAGTAACGAAATGAAGTGCTGTAAGACGAGGACCACTTGTATTATAAACTGCCCAGAGTTACCTCGGGGTAAGATGGGCTGTCAATAAATTTAATAAATAAATAAATGAACCGGAACTCAAAGAGAGCATTCGCTTACTGCATTGGCAGGAAAGGCTCTGATCATCACAGCAGTGAATCCCTTGTACAGGGACAACACTCCTTCCTCTCGAACAAGCTCTCGCAGGACATCTCTGAAGCCATTGGGATACTTCCCTGGAGGAGCTGTAGAAAAACGCAGAATACATTTCATGAACCTCATCCCCCCACCCCCCAGAGACTTTGATCAAACTCCTTTCTTTCTTTCCCAATCCTTTTTTTATTTCTATCTCTTGCCATAACGCCCCTCAATTAACAACAATTAAATGACTCCCTGCGCTCAATGGTTCAGTCCCTAATCACCTCACAGTTGGACTGTTATAATGGGCTTGACATGGGGCCACCCTTGGAGATTATTCGGAAGCTGAAACAGGCACAGAGTGCAGCGGTGTGGACTATTTTAGGGGGGGGGGCAAGAATGTCTCCTGTAACACCACTGCTCCATTGGTTGCCAGTCTGCTTCCGGGTGCAATTCAAGGGGTTGGGGATCACCTTTAAAGCCCTTCGTGGCATGGGTCCAGGTTACCTGAGGGACCATTTCACCCCACTGGGATTGGCCCGTCCCATTCATGCCAATAGAAGGTGGCATACTTTGGGTTCCATCAACCTGATTATTCTAACTGGCGGGGTTCAGGAGAAGGGCCTTCTCTGCTGTTGCTCCTGACCTCTGGAACATCTTGCCTCCTGATGTGAGATTGGCCCCAACCCTCCTATCCTTCCATAAAGGCCTGGCTCTGCCAGTTGGCCTGGGGCCCCAATGGAGGAACAGCACAATGGACACGGTTAATCAAGTAACAACAGATCCCACCTTCCCCCTTATTCTGCCCCTGCCCTCTCCATGTGACCCCTTTGGTTATAATTTATTCAAGTTTTAATTTTTATGAATTAAACACATTTATAAATTAAACTCATTTTTATGACTGTAAGCTGCCCAGAGTTACTGTTTGGTAGGTTGAGCGGCCAATAAATTTTATAAGTAAATATAAATAAATGGGAAGATGAGGGAAGATTTTCACATTTCTCCAGTACCACAGCAAAGGCCCCTACTGCTTACAATCTTACATTTATCAACCTGCCTGAATTTCTAGGATGCAAGTGAGAGGGTTAACTGAGAACATTTGAAAACTCTTTCCTCTTCAATGGTCTGTTTGGTTTCGGTAATTGCTGATGGAAAAAGAAAAAAGAAAACTCCTTCCTGTGCAAAAACTGTGGAAGCCAAGAGGCTGGCAGAATGACAAGTTGCTTCACTCCTCTTCTCCAATCGATTTGGCAGAAATTTATTTTTTTGTTATTGCACAAGGGATTAGAAACTTGTATTCCAGGCAGGCTGTGAAGCATGGAATTTCTCGTCTCCATCAGTGAAAAAAGAAATGTATGACACACCCTTTGGAGCAAACATTTTAATAGCCAATTATGTATATTGCAAATGTAAAAGAGGAAGAGAATAAAAACTGGCAAAAGAATATAAATGTAAAAACGAAAGAAACAAGAAAAGGAAAGGCAAGAAAGTTTTCACCTAGGCCCATCCTATGAAGCACTATTTCTCACATGAAGAACTTCGGACACAAATGCAGGTAGTCCTTGACCTACGACCATAATGGCGCCTGACAAGTATAGCGGTAAGTCGTGATGGGTCATCAAGTGAACAACCTGATTTTATGACCTTTTGGGCAGCAGTTGTTAAGTGAATCCACAGTTCCGGGTGCAATTCAAGGTGTTGGGGATCACCTTTAAAGCCCTTCATGGCATGGGTCCAGGTTACGTGAGGGACCATTTCACCCCACTGGGATTGAGAGCTTTTGCCAAAAATTGGAAAGCTTTTTGGCAAAAATATTGTAAATTGTGTTCACATGACTGTGGGGACCCTGCAAACAGCTATAAATGCCAGCCTGTTGCCAAGCATCCAAAATGTGGTCATGTGACCAAGGGAGGCGGGTCCGACCATCGGGACTATGAAACTGGGCCATAAGTACCTTTTGAAGGGTCCATGGGTAACTTCATATAGTCACTAAGCAACCAGTCGTAAGTTGAGGCACACCTGTAATTATCTTGTAATTAGCCACTTGCCTGTTCAGTCAAGGCAAATACCTTAACTCAGTGTTTCTCAACTTCAGCAGCTTGAAGATCTACTCTATTGTATGGACTTCAACTTCTAGAATTCCCTGCAGGCTGGCTAGGGAATTCTGGGAGTTGAAGTCCACACAACTTCAAGCTGCCAAGTTTGCCAACGACTATAACTGATTATATATTGTAGCTAGTACACACACAAGGAAAGGGCAGACAAAGAAAATCTTTTGAAATTTATCCAAAAGAGCTGCCAATTTCAAAGCACATTTATGTCACTAATCTTCAAAAGAATCCTGAAAAGTTTTACCTCAATTTTGTTTTCACTAACTACTCAGCTATGTGACACTAGGACTAGGGCAATGGTCTGAAAAAAAGAAATGTTCATACTAGTTTATAGAACTTTCAAATTCTTTGCCTGGAGGCAACTATATTCACAATAGCTGAGCAAAGTGTGATTTTTCAATCTTTAATCCAGCTACAAGAACCAGCTTCATATTTGCTTTGGAAAATGATTAATGTATGATGAAAGATGGTTTTAGAGATAGTCCTCCTTTAGCAACCACAACTGGGACGACAGTTGCTAAGTGAAACAATCACTAAGTGAAACCACAACTGTGCTCATGATTTTACTTCAGCTTTTCTTTGCTTTACAGATCTGTAAATGTCCTAAATGCAAAGATTGGTCATAAACTTATTTTCATCACTACTGTAATCGCAGACGGATGCTGAGGCTATCCTTAACAAGGATTATACTGTACTTTCCTTCTACTCCAATTTCCATGGTGATCAGAATTATACCCATTAAAGCTAGCAATTAGAAGAGAGGCGGGAATGGAGCAGAACAATGAGAACGTGTTCTGCACTATTAGCCTTAGCCAATAGAGAACGTGTTCTGCACTATTAGCCTTAGCCTTCTGAGCCACACACCTCAGAAAATGCAAATACCTCATCTAACACCAGATCAAACCAGAGACTGTCATGGACTGTTGCCCAGGAATGATTTTCAAAAGAGTTCCAGGAAATATTATGAGCAAATGTGTGCTCAAAGATCTAATCTTCAACTGTGCATTCTCATGAGAATACAATCAGATGACAATGCAATTCAGAGAATGGAGAGGGAAGAAGGAGAGTTGTTGACATTAACCCTCCATGTACCTCTAAATATAAAGAATATTTGTAGCTCAGGGTTGAAATAAGGGCTCCTTGATGCTCTTTGAACTTGTTTTCTTGCAAATGTTTCATTACCCTAACTAGTTAACATCATCAGTGTTAGCAGACAGCATCAAGGACCCCTCTAAATATATAAAATAGCAGACAAAGAAGACGTTTGACCAACATTGTTCTTTTTCAGTTGTTTTGCCTGATTTAATAGGAAAGGATTAAATACTTGGAGTAAGACCCGTTCTGAACACCTGTGACAACAAGAGAAGAGAACAGAGCTGGAAGGGACCTAGGAGGTCTTTTAGTCCAGCCCCCTGCTCAAGCAGGAGAATCTATACCAGTGGTGGTTAACCTTTTTGGATTCCTGTGCCAAAAATTGTGCATGCATGCCAGAACCCAGAAGGCAATGCACCCCCCAGCCCCCTGTGCATGTGTGTGCAATCCCCCCCCCCCATCTCCTTACCTGCACTGCACCTCCCAGCTGATTTTCAGCCCATTTGAGACAGCCCAAAAAATAGGCCCGTTTCATCACTTTCGGTATTTCCGGAAATACAGGAAGTGACAAAACGGGTCTATTTTTCGGGCTGCAGAGGCTTTCCTCAAGCCTCTGGGAAAGGCCACCCTGGAAAAAGTAAAGGACCAGCCCGCAGTGCCTCTGCCAGCAAAAATGGAGCTCTGTTTTCACTCAGGAGGGTGTCCCAGCCAAAAACGGAACTCAGGAGCCCGTTTTTGCTGGCAAGAGTGCTAGGCCCACCACAGACACCCTCAACACGAGTGACATCAACCCGGCCACACCCACCCCGGCCACCCGAGGTCAAACACAACCCTGATGTGCCCCTCAGTGATATAGAGTTTGACGCCCCTTATCTAGTCTTATCTAGTCTTATCTCCCCTTATCTAGTCCCCTTATCTAGTGATGGAGCACTCATAATTTCTGAAGGCAAGCTGTTCCATTGGTTAATTGTCCTCGCTCTTAGGAAGTTTCTCCTTAATTATAGGTTGCTTTTCTCTTTGATTAGGTTCCAACTATTGCTTCTTATCCTGCTCTCTGGTGCTCTGGATCAGGGATCCCCAACCTTTTCGACGCCGCGGCCCGGTTCCGGCATCAGCTGGGCGCCGCGGCCCGGTACCGGCGTCAACTGGGCGCCGCCATCTTTTTTGACGAAAAAGCGCTTCCGGTGAGCTTTCTACCCGGAAAAGCTCACCGGAAGCGCTTTTTTACCAAAAAAAGATGGCGGCGCCCAGCAATCAGCGGCCCGGTAAGGCTTGTTCCGCGGCCCGGTACCGGTCCGCGGACCGGCGGTTGGGGACCCCTGCTCTGGATAATAATTTGACACACACCCCCTTCTTTGTGGCAGCCCCTGAAATACTGGAATACTGCTATCATGTTACTCATAATTCTTTTCTTTAGACTAGCCAAACCCAAAACCTGCAGCGGTACTTCATATGGTTTAGTCTCCAGGCCTTTAATCATTTAGTTGCTCTTCTTTGAACTTTTTTCCAAAGTCTCAACATCTTTTTTGTAGCATGGTGATCAAAACTGGTTGCAGTATTCCTGGTGTGGTCTTATTAGGGTTTTATAAAGCGGCACTAATATTTCAGGTGATTTTGATTCTATGCCTCTGTTTATACAACCCAGGATTGTATTAGCTTTTTTGGCTGCTGCTGTACCCTGCTGGCTCATATTCAAGTGATCACTAGGATTCCAAGGTCCCTCTCACAGGTACTGTTTTTGAGCCAGGTCTCACCTAATCTGTACTTATATCTTTGATTTTTCCTGCCTAGCTGTAAAACTTTGCTTTTCTCCACATTAGAAATTCATTTTGTTAGATAGGGCCCATTGTTCAAATTTGTCAAAATCTTTTTGGATCCTGAGTTTGTCTTCTGGGGTGTTGGTTATTCCTGCCAGTTTAGTATCATCTGCAAATTTGATGAGTTCCCCTTCAATTCCCTCATCTAAGTTATTAATGAAGATTTTGAAGAATACTGGCCCCAAGACGGAACCTCTAAAGACGTGCAAAGGTTATAAATGCAAGGATTGGTCACTAAATTGTATTTTTTATCACTATGGCAACTGAGAATGGTTGCTTAAACAAAGCGTTTGGTAAATGAGAACTACTTGTACAAAAACCTACTGAAAACTTTTCTCCACAAAGCCTACTTTTAAATCTGCCTTCTAAAATCTTTAGGAGAGCCTCAGTGAACTCACCTGTCTGGAATCGTGATTTCAGCACATCAGGAGGGATTCCCACAGCCCAGTTGAAGATCCCTGCCATGCCTCCAGCAAAGAGGATTCTGGGTACACTGAGGTCACTGACACTGTGGAAAGCAGGGCAGAAAAGGGGCAAGCATGAATTCATCAAAATGGCTGCTAAAAAGAAATAGAATAGAGGTGTGTCAAACTGGCGGCCTGTGGGCCGGATGCTTCATACGCAGGCCGTGCCCACCCCAGTTCCGTGAATTGGAAAACCATCATGAAAGGTCACATGACGGCACGAGTTTGACACACGTGAAACAGAAGAAAAGAAAGATCGGGCACATCTCATTCAGACTCACAAGGGGGTAGGATGGGCAAAGGTCATACAGTAAGCACCTCCTTCAGGTGAAGTCAGGAGATTTACTTCAAAATGGGCTGTACAGGTAGTCCTCGAATTACAACAGTTTGTTTAGGGACTGTTCAAAGTAACCATGGCACTGAAAAAAGTGACTGACGATTTTTCACACTTATGATCGTTATGGTAGCCCCACGGTCACATGATCAAAATTCAGATGCTTGGCAACTGGCATGTATTTATGATGTTGCAATGTCCCGGGGTGATAGGATGACCTTTTGTGGCCTTCTGACAAACAAAGTCAATGGGGAAGCCAGGTTCACTTAGCAACCGTGTTACTAATTTAACAACTGCAGTGATTCACTTAACAACAATGCCAAGAAAAGTCATAAAATGGGGCAAAACTCACGTAACAACTGTCTTGCTTAGCAAGAGAAATTTTGTCGTAAGTAGAGGAGTACCTGTATTTGCCCAGCAGAAGACTACTTCTTTCTCATGATCGCTGTAGAAAAAGTTACTTCTAGAACCACTGGGACTTCAAGCTTAATTTACAGTACAACTGACTTATATTGTCAGAACTAGCCAATCTAAATCAAATTACTACAGATTCAGAAGTCAGGCTGATATTCTTCAAACAGTACTGTGCTGAAAGAAGAAAATGTCCTTTATTGTTAGAATAAAAGCTTCTAACTATATGTAGATTCATATAAACCCGAGTTAAAGCCTAATGTTTGGCATGAAAATATTGAAATATAGCTAATAGTGGTTTATTCAACAAATTATATTTAATCAAACCATAGCTTATCACAATATAGAAATCTAGTATTTCTGCCTTTGTGCCATGGTAGATTATGCTAATGAATCCATTAGCCTTCCTTATAAAATGCACTGGCCTGATCCCTAAAAATATATTTTATAAATGCCAAATTATATTACTTACAATTTATCTCTCTCTTAAATTTATATCAATGTCAAGCAACTCAAAGAAATAATCCTTTGTTTATCTCATCAAACTATTATCATGAAGCTCTTACTTCAAAGTAAAAAGCATTTCTTAGCTGTTCTTGTGAGAAATCCAAGATTCTCCTTACCTCTGCCCCTGAGGCGTCAAAATCCTTTTCAGCCATTCATAGGTCATGAAGTACATCCCACTGGCTGGAACATCTGGTCCAATAAACAGAGCCAATTTAGAAAAATGAGAGACAAACTGCAGAGCTAGTCAAGAGCCCAAATTGGCAAGGACAAAAAAGATAAAATGTGCCAGCTTTCTGTAAGCAGAATTATAATAATGGCATAAACAATACACTCCACTTGCTGCTTTAGACCTTGATTTGATTGACAGAGAAAACAAGATTTCAAGCACTCTTTCCAGTTACATCTACCCTACTAGGGAAGGATGGAGTAGGGTGGAGAAAAAGGGTCTTCTCTGTGGTGGCTCCCCCTCCCTATGGAATATCATCTTCCCTGGAGATAAGATTGACCTCATCTCAACCAGAACCCAAAAATAAGCCCTAGCATGATTTTTATGTGTGCACCTAATATAAGCCCTATCGCCAAAATAAGCCCTACTTAACACCTGAACAGCCAGCTGCCCCTCCATTCTTTCTGGTTACTCACAGTGCCGATGACGAGGTGAGGCAAGGCAGGTTGGAGAGGTGGAACTGCCTCAAGTGCCCTGCACTGGCTTACCTCAGGGCCCCTACAGCCAGGCCATCCACACCCCAGGTCTCACAGCACCCGCAGCCATGTCCGGCAGGAGCCCACATGGCTGACGACCCACTTCTGCTTGCTCGCGGCCAGAACGGAGCAGGAGGCCCAGTGCTGCATTGCTGTTGTGGCCACGAGGCAGGTGTCGGGGCATGGATGGCCTGGCTGTGTGGACCCTGAGGTAAACCAGTGTGGGGCAGGTGGGCCAGCTCCACACCCCCTGCCTGCAGCACTGGCACATCGTGTGGCCTCCTGCCCCATTGTGGCCGCGAGCAAGCAGAAGTGGGCCTCCCATACATGGGGAAAAAATAAGACATTTCCCAAAAAATAAATCCTGGTGCTTATTTTGGAGCCCCCCAAAAAATATGACTGGGTCTTATTTTCAGGGAAACATGGGTACTTTTCCAGAAGGCCCTGAAGACAGCAGAGCCTGGGAACCCCAAGTTGAGATAGACCCAATCATGTGGCTGGTGTGTGTTTGTTACCACTGTAGCAGGAAAGGGTTGGGAATTTTATAGTACGGATTTTTAATGTTGTAAGCCACCCAGAATCATTGTGTGTGCATTGAACAATCATATGTATATATGTATGTATGTATGTATATATATATATATATATATATATATATATGTGTGTGTGTGTGTGTGTGTGTGTGTGTA